ATTTTATTTTCACGAATCCCAATTTGAAACAATTTTTGTAACGGTTTTTCCAAACTTCTCTACTAGATTTTTTTGTTTTCGGATCATTTTTATATCCTTGCTGTTTTTTTTTATTCCATTCTTAACAGTTTCAAGAATATTAATTGATTCAGGAATCAATTAATATATAGGTATAATGCAACTGTGTATTTTGATTGTCATTGTATCCGTCAGTTCTAATCAGCGGTGAATTCAGTCATTGGTCCATTCGAAACACATTTTATTATTATTATTCGACTAGAAATTAAAATCATATATAACTGAATGGACTTATTTGGCTAGAGTTATCACACTGCTGGCATACAATATAAAAAATTACTACCCTATAACTGATAGCTCCAGTTTATCAACTTTTTTGAAACGAAAGAAGGAAAAAATTTATGAATCGTATCCACAGGCACTTATATGAGCTTTAGAGAAGGCCAGAAAACAGTAAGAAGTTGCAACAAGTTTTCAGTTTCGAAAATATTAGAGAAATAAGCTTTGCTACTTGTATCTTTCTTTTTGGTGAATTTTCCGGATAACATTAAAAAATTCTCAGTAATTTTATAAAAGTTTCAAATTGAGAGAAAATTAATCCATTAAGAGGACGAAATCAATCCCACCTCATTTTTTCAAACAACGACTCATTTTTTGCGATGGAAGAACTCAAAAATCCAAAAACGAAGCATTTATGTTCCAACGCTATACAGCGCTATTTCGACATGTGATAGGATTCATCAGTGACGGTATATTGAACCATTAATGTATTGTTATTCCCAAAGTTCGAGTGGAAAAAAGTATAGACGAGATAGCAGGTAGTTGGGTTGCGTGGGTGGTTTGCTCCACTCCACGTTAAAAGGTAAGACCTCGTTAATCCTTAGCTCGCACAAGTTTCTACTTCTGAGGGTTGTCGTTCGTAGGGGTGCGACAGCTGGTTAACGGAAAAACATATTTTGAACAGATTTTCAAACTCCGCTCACTCAATCGACCGCTGTATGAACCAGTGGTTCAAACCACGACGCCGGATGGTCAAACTTGGATATCGACAAACCATGAGTATCCTATCAACGTAGTTTATTTGACTCACTCAAAATTTTCCAGGTGAAGCGATTTTGACAAGGCTGTAGTCACCAAAGTGCTCAACCAACATGGGTCCAAGTGGTCCCATAATAAAGTACTCCTCAAATCGTCACAGGTTCACCCGTTTGTTTGTAGATCAGCCTCACACATTATCTTTCAAATAACAATTCATTGTGAAATTTTCACTGAATAGTTTACAAAACCGCAACTAGTTTTGCTATACAATTGTTTTCTCAAGCGTTTTCATACATCAAAACACGTGTTGCGGTTTTGAAAACTTTCCATTAGAAATCTAATAATGAAATGTTACTTGAATAAGTTGTGGATTTGCATCAATTCCATCACATATCAAAAAAAAATCCCCGAGTTCAATATTCCAACCCATTCGTGATAGTTGATAAATAACAATCCAGACACAGAGTGGGAGATACAGTGCCTAGGTATTTCAAATTCATTCACATCTCGATTGATATTTCAATCATTTTCATAACCATTGATACTTCGTTCCTCCTGGCTGGTATATACATACATTCCATTTCCATGCCATTATGTCCTAGCTATATCTCTTCCTATCACACTTCTCATCCATTCCATACCAGCCTCCATTTGCCGTCGTCGACAAAGTTCTCTTCGATGATCACCAGCTAGTCGTCCGCGTAGGCCTATATTTGAACTCCATATGTTCCAATGTCTCATCTAACTTTCATATTTCTGATTCAATCACATGATGGCTGATTCCATCACAATCAGCCATAGCTTCGGTCTTAGGCTGGAGTCCCGCTGGTAGTCTCGAATCACCGTCTCAGAGATGCCCCCGGTTCTTGCGATTCTTTCTTCTATGAAACTTCACATTTTCCGGCATTGTCATACGCCTCATACATCTCTCAATCACCGATATCTACGTGGTATGAAAGGCGTTCGATAGTTCCAACGCCACAACCAAGCTCCTCTTTTTCTCTTTACCTGCTTTTTATTTAAAGCAAATGGAACTTCAAACGTTCAAGCCAGTCTCTATATACCTACACAGTAGGTTTAATGGACTGACGCCTATCAGAAAACAACTACTCCCCTGGCTAATACCACGAAGGGCGTTGGATTATATCAGACAGGCGTCAGTGCAGGAATCTTCACAGAAAATGTCCTGCATATGCAATTGGCAATACAACTGAAAGAGTCGACCTTCAATTATGGAACGGGCACACTTGCAGACCGGTTTCGGGCTAATTAGCCACTCTTCAGTGCAAGATAGTGACCATCATCGACCTAAAGTCAATGATATTCCACAATTGAAAATCGGAATTCTTTCAGAGTATTTCATTCCTCTTCCGAAGTTGGAGCGAACATCAAAAATGTCACTCCATCTAGTGGACGAGGTACTAACCAACTGCATATCCGTAATTTGCCTGATTCCTCTGAATAAGGAAGAAAAACTTTCTTATTAGTCAATGGGCTATGCTTGAAGACTGGCAGTAAACAAATCTAAAGCAGATGGAACTTCAAACGTTCAAGCCTGCTTTTTATTTGTTGACTGTTTTCTCCACTGCCATTGTGGTATGCATCACCGTTCCTAATCTATTTTGGTTAGGCAGAATTTACCATTCAGAAGTCTATTATTTAACATCTGTTCCATGTCAGTCAGTAGACTGATTGGTCCGAGACTCTTCATTCTTCTTTGGTATTTGAACAACCTTTCACTTCTTACACACTTCAGGGAAGTACCTTTTACTCCAGCAGGCGTTGAGTAGTTTGAGTTTATTCTCTTCTCTCCAGGGCAGTCTGTTGCAAAGCGAAGCTTCGATATAGACAGCCAAATGAGAATTTGATATCTTTCTTCCTCTGCCACTTCAGTTGCGCAACAACTAGATAGAAATAGAATCCGAAAATAGTCGATATCGAAGATTGGCTTTGCAACTGACCGCCGTTTTAACCATTTTTTATTTTGGATAAACAAGTTTTGAGTTTTATGTAGACAAGGAAAGTGTCATTCAATGACAGTTGAGTCAAAAAATGCATTTGTGGATAAGCCTAGCACTTCTGAAGACAAGCTTGACAGGTTGAAACAGTTTTGTCTTGTTTTGAATGTTTTTCTCTAGCGGAGTGCATGGTTTTGAACCATTGAAGAATATAAAAACATATAAATATTCGATGAAAGTGA